TAAGGGGAATTTTACGACTGATTTTTAGCTCCTGTTTCTACTAGTGGGCCCTGTTTCACGTACTTTGGTTACATCATTCTGAAGTGTTTGGACTCAACCTCAAGTAATGCTCCTCCAAGCTATTTTATCCAAAGCCAATCTACTTGTTTCCTTTTTCCATTCTAAATCTCATTCAATTCACACTTTATTCGATTTACAAAACGTCCACGTGGTCAAAGGTAGTAATCAAGCTTTTGACCAGAAAACGCCATCTAATGATGTCATTATAGCAAAGAATCCCGGTTGACGAATAGTCTTAGTTAGTGTCAATGTGATTGAAGTTTCATGAGACTTCGAATGAAGTATCCGAAGTCTCAATAGTATATTTCGCATTCAACAGAAATATAAAGATGTATTTAGTTTGAAAAATATTTGTTCATAGCATTGTTTTGCAAAATCTTATCGATGAAAATAATTTGGTTCAGTTTTATTCACTAGAAAATCTAAATTTCAATATTTTTGTTTGCTGTAATAACGACTGTTTGAATTTGTATTCCAGCAAGAATATGTGTATAGTTTGTAAATGTCCGAACGAGATGAACAGAGATTCACTTATTACTGTTGTGTGTTGCTAGTCCTCTTACGCACGCACGCACGCACAGACGAGATCTCTGTGACAGTGGGAGAATACACACAACTGATCAGAGATGTGTATTCATTTGCATTGCCGTAAACCAATGAGAAAAATGACTAGAATGACGTTTGGTTTGGCGCCATCTGCAAGGTGGAAGTATTTTGCAATACAAATACGTTCTATTGTTGCTGTCATTGGTTGCTGTCATTGATAGTTGGCAGTATATTTATAAAGAAGTTTCATAGTTCAGCGTCTACCGTCAAGATGTCGCTTAAATATAGCATAAACATGTGCTCCATATAAAAACATAGGCAAATTTTATCATTGCGTAAACCGTGTGTATGAAAAGTACCATTGAAGCAGTCGCACATTTGTTGTATGCAAACGACTTTATAGAAGATTTCAAATTCAAACGACCGTTATTGAAGTGAACAAATAACATGAAATTCAAATTATTTACGCAAACTAAGTTCGATTTTTTGAAGTCTAAAATTCAACAAAGCCAAATTATCCAACAAACGGAATTTTAATGATAAAATAAATGAAATTTCATCGACATTGTGCAGCATATTATGTTTCGATATTGAGACTTCAAAACTTCTAGCACATTGAAAAAACTGACATTTTCATTCTCATTCAAATCTGGCAATATAGCCAACAATGCCATATTGGTGTGATCAGCGTTCTTTTACTGTATATTTGGAACTTGAACAAAAGTTCAACATTCATTTTATGCATAACTTGGAAAGAGCTTAATAAACTTGATAAAATATGTGTATTTTTCGATCTTTGTAAGTGCCCAACATACATGTAGTCTACCTCTATTCCTGCGTCATTCATCCTCTCATGAGATTTACTGATTCAAAACAGACCAAACACCAAAAGGTATAAATCTAGGGGCTTATTTGTCGTCACGAGTCAGCAAGACTCGTATGATTTTCATGTAAATTAAAAATGATTTGCGCTGAATTGCAAGGAACTCGCACTGACTCGCACCAATTTACGGAGATTCGTGAAGACTCGAACGAATTCATACAAATATATACACAAGTCATAGCATAGAAAGTGTATGGCATTTATAGCAAATCCGCGAGTCGATGCAAATCAGCTTATATACACATTGCAAACCATTCGGATCTTAGCTTGTGTTCTATAATTCTTTTCTTATTCTGTTTAATATAGGCAACTGGAATGAATGTGAATTGAAAATGAAATGTATTAAATTGACAATGGAACTAAGATCCACGAAATGTTTCATGAAACATACGAACTGCACTTATTTTTGGAATGGGCAAGTCAACCATTAATGATTTATAACAAGATTTGCCATACATCATATGAATATATGTGGCGAATGACTGTCATGTGTTCAGTGTAAAAAAAATGCTTCGACACTTTTATTTTCATCAGATTGAATTGTTTGAATGAAGCATTTTGATGGATTGTGTTCAAATTCACGATTTTTTAGTTGATCTATATAACTTGACATATTCCGTATGAAGATTCGATGCGCTGCCAAAAATTTGGATGGAATAATATTTTCATAAATAGATTCAACTAATACTTCACGATTTTCGTTGATGAATTCCACCAATTTCAGCGATATTCTCTATGTAAATAAGAGCCAAAGTCGATCGACAAGCAAAGACTGTTTTTTTCTCGGGATTTCAACACCCAAAACATCAAATACATTGTTGTCTGCCTTAAAAAAATAAAAAAACATTTCGAAACCAACCATTTTAAAATTTTGTATTAATTTTAATTTTCTTGCAGTCAAAATGTGACAATATAAATGTTTTTAATGACAAAAAGTTGATTTAGTAGTCGATTATTGAGTGAATTGTGAGTTCAACTGGCATGCTCGTTGACATTTCATAGTTTCGTTCAGTGATTCGCCAATTTATATGAGAGACTCGTGAAGGACTCACGAATCTTCATATAAACTCGTAAGATTCGTGCAGTTGCCTATGTGTTTTGAAATGACTCGTGAGATTCGCACTGATTCACACTGATTCGTACGATACATAAGCCCCTAGGTATAAATGGTCTTCAACTGTTTATTGTTGTTGTTATTTTTTAAGTGTTAAAATTAGATTATGCTGGTATATCTAGATTAATTTCATGAAAATTCAAAGTTCCTTCGCTTACCATATCGTATTTGTACAGGTGAAACTTGTATACGTCCATCAAAGAAAGGAAGTTGAGTTCGTCGTGCGTGTGACACAGTGAAAGGTAGGCGTACTACTATGTTTTGCCTTTCTAGTGTATTCCAGTTTCAAGATTTCTCTACTTGCAAACACTCCGATAAAGTCAACGATTTTTTTCTCAATATTCATTCGAATAGGATAAATATTATATTCACTCAATACTTGATGTTGATGGGGCTTATGCTGATTGGAGCAATATGCGCAGTATGGGGCACAATCTATGTCTATTTTTCGGCAGGCATTAAGACGACGACACTTGAATGTAAAATTCCTTTTACCGATGGAAAATCGAATGCGGAATACATTGTAAACATGATACTTCAATGGGAAGTTTTTTGTTATGGATTTTGTCTTTATTTTGGAATGGAAATTGCGATGTCGATTTTTGGCAATGTAGTCACCGTTACGCCAAAACTCATCAGAAGCAGGCTCAAAGAATTGGACGAAATGGTTGAATGGAATGAGCTGTCTGAACCGCAGTTGCGGTTTGCATCCCAAGATATTACGAAGCAAATTCTCGATTATGAAAAGTAATGTTCCGAGATCGGAGCCGAAACGTAATGCTTAATAATGACCGTTCTATTTTTTAATCTTCTTTAGATATGTGATCGAGCTTTGAGAATCGTTAGCTGTGCGAATACTGATAACCCCAGCGCTGTTTACCTACTCGATTGGAATATCCATATTTTGTCAATATTCGGTATTGCACTTATGTTTTGTCACATTATCGTCAGAAGATCTGATTAAATAGAACATACTTCAATCATTTTGTCACTTTGAAAAACTTCCAGGGAGACTTTACGGCTGGATATGGTATGGCTTTGATATCGTGGGTTCAATTCTTTTTCGTATGTTAGGTTGGCGAACAAGTCGAGGTAGAAATTACAATCCAATCACAACTCTTTATTCATTTAATTAGAAATTGTATCGCAACTTCATGTTGAATTCATTCTGTCTCTTAATTCGTAGAATAATGGACTGGATTTGATCATTTACGATATCAACTGGTATAATTTTCCGAAGGAACCACAAAAAAACCTGATGCGTCTCATAAATCAACAGCAAAACAAAACGGTCCTTACTGTCGGATCATTTTGCAATGTCGACCGTGAGCTCTTCAAGATTGTAAGTATATTCAATGAATTATTATCGAATTTGAACGTGAATTACGCTCAGTTGATCTATGAGTAATATATGCTGTGCTACGTTCCATTTCAGGTGACGAAAAAAATTTACTCTCTGGTTATGTTCTTACGTAAATTCAAATATTGAGTAACTCAATCAACTATCGCTAGTATTGTGTCAATGAGCACAGTAACGCCAGATACCATAATATTGAACGCATCCATTCCCATTAAGACTTAATATAATTTGTTCGCTCGGAATTTGAAAAAAATGGATAAGTGTGTTTAATATTATGCACTATACTAGCGATGGATGAGCTCAATTAATCGCGGTAATATATCAAACTGCTTTTTTTTATCTCGGATGAAAACTCAAGATTGGTCCAATGTTGTCGAGATCAAATCATTTGTATGAGACAGTTAACGGAGAAATTCCATGAAACTGATGAATAGCACAGGCACAGTAGCTCGTGCCATTCAGTATTTGGCACTCAATTCATGTGGAACAGTACGTGTAAATGTGACCAAAGATGTTTGTATTTTGTAGATTTAAAGGAAACATATGGTAGTTGTACCCAGATCCAAATTGTCGAGTGTTTTAAGTGAATATAATGTAAAATGCAATTAAGAGTTTGTATGTAGATTGTAGAGCAGCTGTCCGAATTGATAGTAAATCGAGTGATTGATTTGATATGAATTATGGAGTTTAAGGATGTTGTACGATTTCGTTGCTAGCGCTGCGCGGCTCAGGCAAATTTAATGGATTTATTTTTTTGTCTCAAGAATTTAAAATACAAAATAAACATAATTTTTCATTCGATATAGCACATACCGAGTCAGTTTGTTTTTATTTGTCCAGGATCGAAAAATAAAGATTCTGATGATGTTTGTGCGCCGCTGCCTAGCAAAAGCTATCTCGCTTACAGAAAAATCTCGAACAGCAACGGGAAAAGCGGGGACTGTGGGAGTTTCCAGTCGTTGTTGCTATGCTCGCACGAATTCGTACAAGTGACTAAGAAAAGATGTATTACAAAGAAAAACACCGTTCGTTTGCCGAATATAACATGTTTATTTCCTCTCAATCATTTGTATAATAGTATTTTTGTTCATCCATTTCGATGGTTCGAATTGTATGCATGCAAATTAGTAATCGTAAAATTGATTTTTATTCATGTCACATGACGGCCTGCAATAATATTCGCTATTCACATGGCCGTAATCAAAATATTTATTGAATTGAAGAGAGAAAAAAACATCGATTCCTTTTTAGAGGTGTCAACGGACAAATCCGTCCGTCCGTCCGAACATTTTTTTGAAAATCCATAACGGAGTAAGTGTTTGTATGAGGGTATTTCATTGTGGTGTAATATTGCATACCATTATGAAATACACTCATACAAACACTTAATCCGTTATGGAGTTTATGTATTCTACTCATATTTGGAGAAAAAAACTCGAAGTTTAAACGGAAATTGCTGTGAGTGTGGTTTACGATAACCGCCAACATTTTGGCCATATTGTCTTCGGTAAAATCAATTTGGATGTCTCTCATTGGTTTTCGATTGAAAAAAAAAGTATGTTGCAACATTTTCTGAGTCAGAAGCCCTGACTGATAATCAATGGCAAAACGATTTTTATCTATTCCCATTCCAATTAGAGCCTTAAGTCGTGCCTTAGTCGAAAAAAGTCGACGAGGAGATAAATATGTGTGTTTGGTTGTATCTATAAAAATAACGAGTCCTACTTTTTTATACTTGAATCAACATTCAGAGGGAAAATGTATAGCATATCAGAAATTCTGATTCTCCAGAGCTAGAGGACGAATTGCGTCTAGAAGAGAAACCATTACAATTGTTCGTCAATAATTTGTTTTTATTTCGTTCGAACTTTTTTTTCTTCAGAAAAATAACATGTTCGATGACAAGAAGAAGTAGCTTTTTATTAACATATGTAATTGATCTGATAGATTGAAAAATGATAGATTTGGTTGTTCATTTTTTGAATTTGTCGTTTATTTTAGAGTTCAGTTTTTTCCATTTGACAACTCAACAAACACACATTTTATTATAATAATATTTTATCTAGTGACAAGTGAAGTGGATCCTCTAAAGGACTTCCGTGTGCCTTCAAACACTGATTTGATCTTATTTGATAGCCATTAATACTGTTAAACACGATTGTTCCCCTGTTTCATTTTTTTCATAAATCTATTTGATGCTCTATTGCTCTCCAGCTACGATTTTTTTTTCTTTTGTGTACAAAAATATTTGGTCGCTCCTCTGATACGGAAAATTGATTTTTATTTTAAATATTATTTCATCCTCATTTTACACACATTCACATTACTGTTTTTTTTTTTTTTTTTTCATATTTCCAAAATAGATATTTCTGATTTGGCCTTTGGTTTTTCTTCAAATTAAACGCTGAACACGATTGATAATTTCTAATTCACTCAATATCACAATATTCTTTTTTCTTTTTTAATTTTAAAATTTACATAGATTTATAAACTAGCTAATAATTTCAAATGTTCAGGCCAAAGGCGTTTGAAGTGTTTTCACCAACACCGCTGCTCCAATTTTAAGTGGAGAAATGAAAAACAAAACATAAATATCGACAAAAATGTGTGCATCAAATCCGTTTGCCAATCAAATCAAATTTGAAAATAATATTTTGTGTTCAAAATGTTCTACGAATTTATCGCTCTCAATCGATCTTCGAACGCGATATACATCAATAAATAACCGTTGTTTGTTTTTAACTTAACCAATATGTTTGGCTACAAACTACATATTAAACTATTTCATCGGCATAGTAAATTGTTTTCAGTAGAAAATCAAATGAGAATAAGTTTCGGACTGTGCCGTAAGTGATGGGCGATAAATGATTGCAAAACCGGAACTTGAATGGTTCACTTCTTGAGGGGAATTCGAATCCGATCACTTTTTTTGTGTACTTTTTCAAGTTCCTCTTTTTACAAAAGTCAGTGTTTGCCAATCACTTACAACAAAGTCTCAATGATTTATTCTCAGCGCATTTCATGTCAGCTTCATTTTAAATGAACTATAATTTTGTCCATTTTGCAAATGGATGTGAGCGATGCGCTTGTTTTTTTTAGCCACATTCAACAATTTGTTTGGGGTTAATTTCCAAAATTTTAACTTTGTGTTTTTCTTCTGGTTTTTTTTTTGCGACAGAAAGGCTCCATTTTTCGAACGCTTTTTCTCCTCGTCAATTTTTCCCACAACAATGCCAATGAATGGTGAGCTTTTTTTGTGACTCTAACAAAAGAATTTGCTCAAAAAATTCGCCACACACGGAATATTCATATGTCCATCAAAAAATTCCTTGGCAAAGCTCTACTTCGGAGTCGAGCATGAAGGATGATTTTATGGGGAGTCAAATATAGGCTGTCTACATTCACATAGCTTCGCTCTGATTGTTTGTATTATTACATCTTATTGCCCAAAACTATGTACAGACTCACAGAAAAACCAAAGTACTCACAGAAAAATGGAAGATGAAAATTTAACTCCATAAAGTCCAATCCACGGTTCAAGACAATCCAGTCCATGAAAGAGAAAAAACGTTTTTATTTTAACCTTCTCGTGGTCAAAATGCATATAAACGTCATAAGAATACATAGTTATTGACGTTGCTATACGTTTTGACCACGAAATGGTTAAAAAAAAATGTGTTTTGTCTCTCTCGTGGATTGGACTGTCTATATTGACTTTACGAGGTAAAATTTTCAACTTCCATTTTTCTGTGGGTACATATTTTGTGCCTTTCACGTACGTTTATAACTCAACAGGCGCTGTATACTTCGATTGGGCACTTTCGATGCTTGTGTATGTGTGTTTGCGAGTGCAAGTTTCATGCGAAGGAATTTTGAATGAATTCGATGATCGAATTTCGATCCACATTTCGTGTACGGTATAGAGTCATATTTCCATTGGAAAACGTACAATTTATTAGTGCTCATTTTAAACATTAGCCCGATTTTAATCGCTGCATTCTAATCTTCAATCCAAACTTCGAATGCTTTGATAATTTTTCTACTATTTCAAAATTGTGAATCAAATTCGCATTCGATTTTGTTTTAGATTAAAATACACATTTCGTTAAATCGGTTCAATCATTTTTAGGGGAACAGTGAGTTAAAACACTGCATAAGGTAAATAGTTTTTTTGTTTTTTTGAAGATAAATGAATTAAATTCTAACATTTATGACATTAACGGTTTTCTTGTTGTTGTTGATATATTGTTTGTTCTTGTAAGATATTTGATTTAAAAAAATGTATACGTGGAACAATCGTTGAAATACAGCGGCAAAATGGATTTAAATATATTTTTATCTCGATTTTAAGATTAATCGATTGATAAACGTTTGAAAGTTCGATGAGAAAGCATGCGGTAGCTGATAATTCAGTAGCAAATCGGAGATTAAACGGTTATCCGAAAATGCAGTTCATTGAGCGATATACAGTATATCATATACTAAAACAAATGGTCTATAAATTGCTCAATTCAAGCTCCTCAACAGAAGCCCATTTCCTTATATTTCTTTGTTTTTTCGATCCTTCCTTTTCCATTCTTCTTTTATGCTGTTCTCTCTTAAATGTTCTTTCTTCACTAGATGTTCTGTCCTGATCTCCTTCTTTTCCCTTTTTACTCCGAAATAATTCACTTCCGAATGGATATTGTTCCCCTTTTGATTTGTGCTTAATCTTGCACTTGCGTGTTATTGTTTGGTTTCAGTTTTAAGAAAAGAAAAAAAATAGAGCGTAACTCGAGCGAATAAATCCATTCAAAGCAAACATAACCAACAAAGTGAATGAAAAATTTAAGTTAATTTGCATGCATTTTCGTTGGTTTGTTTGATGCGATGCTTGTCCGAATGATGTTTATCCGAGTACACGGGAAATGAACGTCGACGTCGGCTAACCGCTTCAATTAAATCGTACTCAATGTTGGATTGATTCAAAATCTTTTCAAACACTTCAACAATTTTCACATTTTCTTTGGCGTTGCATTCAATGTAGCCGCATCGCCAACGTTTTACGGTTTTCTCCACCAAATCACGGTCCACCATGCGTTCATTGCCATTGTTTTCAAATATGTTGCCAGCAATCACAATTGGTACATCGAGCCCACGTACATAAATTATCTAAACGAAGAAAAAAAAACACAAATAGAATGTGAGAATTCATTTCAATCGATCGAAATAGACGAACGAAAAAGTCAATGGAAGTGCAAAAAACTAGTGAAAGAAGTTCAGCGACAAAGAGGTAAATAAAAAATGTATTGAAAAAAAAAGACGAAAGATGAAACAAAAGCGAAAATTCGTAAATAAAATGATGGAAACAAAGGAAAAACGAAGAAAACGTAGAAAAAAAACGCAATAAAAACAATTTCCACTTATCCAAAGGCCCCAAAGTAACCGACTCACCTGACGTCGTAAATTTTCGATTTCTTTCCACGAATCCTCGTTGTCAACGGAATAAACGAGTAGAAATGCATGTCCATTCGATATAGACAGCGATCGCATCGCTGGAAATTGATACGAGCCGGTTGTGTCGAGTATTTCCAATCGTAACGATTCACCACTGGACAAATTATAATCGGCCACATATAAATCTTCCACAGTTTTTATGTACTTTTTCGTGAATTGATCGAATAGAAACTGCTTAACAATGGTGGATTTGCCCACTTTGGCCGCACCAAATACAATGATGCGACGCTCTTCCTTAAATTTTCCCTGTCCGCTGTCCGTTTTACTTTGACGTCGCCATAATGCCGATAAGAATGGCGTTCGCGGTGGTGATCGATTGCGTTGCGTAATCGTTTGCATATCATCACTTGCAACACGTTCCATGGTCGCTGATGATGATCTGCCACCTCGAAAGCGCATTGCCTCTGCTTTGGAGCCAAAAAAGAAGAAAACGAAAAAAGACGGTACAAAATTAAACTTGTGTATTTAAACTAGTCGATAGAGCAAAATGGGAAGAAAAAAAAACTTTTGGTTGTGGAGAAAGTTCAATGACCCAGCTATGATGCATGGGGATAATGAAAAAGAAGTTCAAGCTTTGAAAAGTATGGAAAAAGTCATTAAAATTGATGTTTGCTTCCTAAATTTCTTCCGAATTTCAACTCGGATGTGGCGTTTATTGACAATAAAATCGATACTAAGCGGGCGACCGAGCAAAATTCGCTCGAAGTTATAACTCCAAGCATTCGGTGTCAATGTCAGCAAAATTTCAATTTTTTCACTTAGCATCACCAATAAGGAAACCAATGGAAGGACACACGACGAAAATGTTGAAGAAAAAAACACGAGCACGACAAATTTGCACCGCAACAAGAGAGGACACGTATGTTAATGACAGCTAAAACGGCAATTTGACTTGGCATAAGTCTGATTGAAAGCGTTTAGTGGTTTCCGTTTTTCATGGAAATTCGGAAAAACCGAATTCTTTGATCGAAAAAAAAAAGTGATAGCGGGAGTGAGAAAGAGCAAGGGTATCTCCTTGTTACTGGAAAGAGTGTCTTCTTGTTGCTAGAGAGCGATAGAATGATGAAGAGAGGGAGAGAGAGAGGGAGTGAAGGAGAGAGTATAAGAAAGAGAAAGACAAGCAAGTGATGGCATAAAAGCGATAAAGTGTGTGGAGTGAGGGAGGGAGGGAGGGAAGTGGGCTAAAGAATTCAGCTGCCATTTGTAGTCAGGCTGTCTGCTGGCTTGATATTTGCACAAAGTTGAAGAGAAAAACGCAGTCAAGCTGGCTGATTGTTGTTTGCTGCTGCCAAGTGAGAAAGTTTAATGACTTTGCTACCGTTCAAAAATGTTTTGACACATATGTCGATGCCCGAAAACCTCATACAAAAAGACGAAGGAGAAAAAAATGAAATCCGAAATATGATGAACGAACCAAATGAAAGTGACTAAATTCCAATTTATCGATACAAGCGCACCCCATGGAACTCAAGCGAAGCTTATCTGTATATGATTTGTGTGCGGCGTTCCCTTTTAGGCAATCATAAGAAACTCGATATGTACGGCACACACATACACATTCTTGTAGATATGCTCGTGCATAGATATGTTTTTCGGAAATTCATTGATTGATGCCTTTATGCGCTATTTCATATCAAATTCATTTTATTTCTCTCTCAATCTCACTCTTACTCTTACTCTCTCGCTATATCTTTTACCATTCCTCTTATTATTGCTTCTTTTCCCTCTCGACCAACCTCCTTGTTGCATCTTCTTACTCTCGTTTTGGTTGCGCATTTATTTCGATAGCTTTGCGGTTTGCATCGATGAAGTTCAAGTTCATCACCTATAGTCAAGCCTCGATTTCATTCGAAATAAATCAAAATTGACGTATGTGTAACGTTCAGCCAGTTGAATACTTCCAAGAAATATGCAAAAGTACGTTGCCCCTATCGTTTTAACAAAGAATATTGAACGAATCGAATGAGATGTACAAATTGGTAAACAAACAAACAAATTCGTACGATATATACAATTGATTTAGGACTTTAGTTGGCTCTGTCTTAGAGGGAGGAGTTGGAGTGTCGAAATTGAATTTGTTTGAAATGTACATTGTATAATCAATATGTATCAATCATAAACAATTTTCGTTCGATTCGAAACTTTCGGCTATCAATTTTGACGCTTTGTGCACTGAAATTCGATGATTTCGACTCTCACTTAGCGTTCGAATCACATGGCAGTTAATTTGATTTCAGGTCGAAGCATCAGCTATAGACTATAGCCTTATAGTTCATGTTTTTAATCTTTAGATATCAATATCATCATCATTTAATTTAATCAATATCATAACCATTTGATCACATTGAACACATTTCACATTCCAATCAACAGAGCGCCAATTGTGGTCAATTCGCTCCTGCTATGGTATACTGAAGCATTAATTTCACCAACTCTGACATCTTTCGAAAAGAATTTGATTAAAAAATGAGTATCTTTCGAAGAAAAAAAATTCAGCTTTGGATAATTCAGCGCGAAATGTTCATCATGTTCAAATTATGAAAAGTCTTTAGTTCAGTCTATGAACATCACGCTTGCAACTGGATAATTGCTACACCAATATTCATAAATGATGCGTAGACAAATTTGTGTATTGAATTTAAGTATATTCAATCGATAATATTGATTCGATATCGATACCCGCACAATGAGAAAAGGTTACTGATGCCGGTAACGAAATCACCTGACACTCCTCCATCTCCTTTTTTGTATGGAGGTCCAATTTGGTTCTTACAGCCAAAAAACCACTTGCTGTCTCAGTTTTTTTCTCAACAAATCCTTTTCTTTTTATCGTTTTTTTTCTCTCTATGATCGACGAAAGAGTTCGACTTCCAAAGGCACAGACAAATTGAAAGAATAGAAGAGTAACCGGACCTGTGTGATTGAACGCTTATCAATTCAAAGGTAATTACAATCTTCATGGAATTGTTTCTCTGCAATGGAAATGGAATTGATTTAAAAATGAATCGATAAAACGAGAACCCGGTGTGCTACTCGGGCCGGCTAATCCAAATCGATTGACAAATTGAAATGCATTGTAATTTGTTGTGGTTAGCCGCGAGCAAAAGCATTTTCTGCATAATTCAATATGACATGATGCGATGGATTTGTGCCTTTGTCATTGCCAATGTCAAATTGATTTTGTGCATTGGCCAAGGAACTGGATGAAATTTGTCATCGCAAGGGTGTTGAGACACCTTAGCGATACCGAGTGTTGACACTGTTGATTCGAACGGAATGGAAAACAATCGAAAAGTATCGAAGAAAATCAAACGGAATCAAACACAACACCGGTTTGAATATAAAATTCAAATCAACGCCTACTTTTATTCGGAACCGCACGATTAGAAATGAGACTTTTTTTCGGCAAGAATGTCAAAAACAGATGAAACGGAATCTGTTTCCTTAAAAAAAATGTCGAGAGAAAGAAAAACAACGACTGAAAAACGGGGGAATTTTCCACTTCTATGATATGTGCTGAAGAGTTACCACGTGACCGGAATGTTTTGAAATGAAATTTCGCCGGTGTGGAATAAATGGCGGAAGCTTTTTTCCGTGTTTATTTGGTATTTGTGTATTCACACGTGCAGCTTATTTTGATTTGACGTAAAATTCGACCACGCCGATGAAGAAGAATGTTGGGAGATGTATGATGGAGCTCGTTGATATGAGTCATTTCACGTGATTTACAGTTACGCGTACCGCAAAAAGGTACTCTCCATTGAATAAAAACGAGAGTCGTTTCAACGAAAATTTTCCATTTCCAAAAAATCAAATCCATATCAGATGAACCGAAACCACAGAGAAAAAATAACAACAACAACAACAACAGCCGATAAAAGTAATGAAAATTTGAAAGTGTAGGGAGGAGAGTGAGTTGTTTGAAAACGAACTCACAGCCCAGATGGAAAATAACGCGATTAAAATCAAACCGATAAAAAGGGATACACACACAAATATGCATATTGTCTCTATCTCGATTTGCAGCAGAATGATTCGAAAAGTTGAACAACACGATGTCAATGTCTTTTCACATTAAACGCTTCTGTACACAGACTGCGCTTTTTCTCTCTTTGTCCCTCTTTCTCACTTTTTCTCACTTCTTCTCACTTTCCCTCTCTGGTTTTCTGGTTTCGAATGGAGTGTGTTTGTGTATGATGTGTTTGCCATTTGGATTGTTTTGCTATCAATTTCATATTTTGGGAGGCTTTAAACTGGATATCCGAATCGTAAACAAAAACATCGATGGTGTATTATGACAACTAGAGCGTAAAATGATCAAGTCGACAATAATAACAATAATAAGTGTTGATAAGGCGAGTCAAAAGCACGGACACGTTGTTATTTTTCTGTTGTTGTTTTCGTTGTCGCCGTCGTCGTCGTTGGGCACCACGCTATACCTTCATCACATGGAATGGACATTGTCATTAAAATGTGCGACAAGATAACAATTCAAATAAACACCATGAAATCCAATGCGCAAAAACAATCAAATCAAGTCGACGGTATATGGTGGAGAGAAGGTGGTGGATTTATCTGAGTCTACAAAATTCAAACACACATAATTGTGGTTTCGTCGGTGCAAATGCGACAATACTAGTCAATATGATTATTTGTTTTTCTCTTCTACAGCTCTTCAATCACTTCATTTTCCGCACTTCACTCATAGAACACGACCTATTATAAACGTGATAAACGAGATACCTCAACTCGACTCATTATAAAACGACGCAAAAACCGAAGGGGGAAAACAGCAAACAAACCAGTCAATATAAAGTATCAAAAGAAGAGCAACGATGAAATAGTTAATGAAAAATTTTACGATATCCAATCGATGATTTGTTTTTTTTCTCTGTTGATACAAGTGAAAATCACGTCCCATCACCATCATAAAAATTATGTTTTGCAATTTTGTGTTTGAAAGAAAAAAAAAGAGAAGAAAACAAAATGGCAGAAAGAAAAGAGTTTTTGTGGTAAAAGAGACATATCAATATCGAACATCAAAGCCGCAACGAACGAATCACAAAGTCAATCAGACATTGACACATCGTCTGTTTAAGTCATGGCACGACTGAAATTAGGAAATCCATCGCAATTTACTTCATTCGTCGACGGCCTCTCTCTCTCTCTCTTTCTACCCACATTCATTCCCTCTTTTTACCACCCTTATTCCCTCATTCTATCGGCAAAAACGTGAGGCCAACACCAAATCACAGTGTTGTTGTTCTATCAATCGAATGCCGTATAAACTCATCAACATCATGTTTACTATGGAAAACCAGTGTACGTTTTTCGTAAACATTGAGTTTATTTTCGTAGTTTTTCAATGGAAAAATTTACAAAAGAAAATACGCGAAAAATG